CGCCCAGTGGAAATTAGAAATGACGGCGCCTATAAGTATATGGGCGGCGTCATTTCTAATTTGTATGGAGATTTTTTCGCGGCAGGAGAAGGCCACATTAGTCCGGTTTGTTAGCACCTTAATGAAAGTGGTGGTCACCGTTCAAAGTGAACATTGTTTACCTGGCTTAGTTTTGGAGATCTGCAGATTTTTTGACAGCATTCGACTCCTCAGAACTGTGGGCAGTCGGTTTATTATTTTTGTTATACCATGCTGATCTCCAGCCTCGTCATCGAGAAATTCGCTAAAATGTGACGCTGGAGGTGATTTTTAAATCACTATTTTTCTATTACTTTGTATTCGAAATTTAGGTTGTAAGGAACAAAGGATTTTTTTGGTTTTTTGCATATAGATTCCTTGAAGTGTGTTTTTAAAGAGATTGAATTGTTGCCAAGCTCTTACTTTTCTTTTCTTCGCAAACTTGCTATTTGTAAACGCAGGTAGGTTGGTTTTTTGCGTAACTGAATTTTTTTCACTTGATATTTCATTTAGATCAAGTATTTGTAAAAAATTTGTTATTATTGTGCTTGCCGCAGTTGTGGCTATGTGCTGCTTCGTGAATTTTTTGCATCCTTTTGTACTACACAAAAAACAGGTACAAATTAAGGAAAAAAATTAGCCCTGAATCGCATCCCAGCAAATAATTCAATTAGGGCGCTAGACTTCAGTAGAATTCAGCAACCACTGTGTAGCCACAATGTGACAAACAGAAATATGACAAAGCCAAAATTCCCAGAATAAGTCACTTAAAAACGCCTTAGTCTAGACTTCAGCCGACGTTTTTCTCAGGAGTCAGCAAGACACATTACCGTACCCCCTGCCGGTTCTCAATGTACACAAACAAAGGGTAGCAGTAGGTTTTCCTATATTCTTAGGGTCCCCTCACTTCTTCCTAAATTTCAGTAAGAAAGTGGGTTATTTTATACCGAACATATGGAAAATAATAAACACGGGTATCCCTTCCATTTACACTTCTTTTTTTTACATCATTAATTTTTTCACCTTTATTTTTTTTTTGATAGGAGATTGCATTTCTTGACTTCCTCACTTGAAACTGTCTTTTTTTCAACCAACTGCTCGGTGATCCCCATTTTTTTTTTTGCACATTTCTTATCTGCTACACATGCCGATTATGAATAAAGGGAATCAACAAATTTCTATGAATATCAACAAAATTAAAAGTATCTGTTAAAAATAAAAACTCTGTAACATTTCTGCTGATATTTTGACAGACAATGGACGGAAAAGCGAAGAAATTGGAATGCAAAGGGTTTAAATATCCATTAACGAAATGGCATTTCAATACGCTGTGTACAGAACTAGACTAAAAAATTTGCCACACTCGTAACCCCGAGAAAGAAAAAACTAAGGTATGTGGGCACTTAACAAAGTTATTATAATGACACTGTTAAAAAGTATATGTAAAGATTGAAACTGCTCTCACATTGGCTAAAATGTCGGCTGAAAATAGAAAGTAAATCGAGAAAATGTAACTATAACGGGATAAGGCTTTTACAAACAATGGACATTAGCTGCCACATCAGTTACACAAATTACCTAGCAGTTTAGCATACTCTTACAAAGTTCACTTCGGATATCTTCACATTACACAGTGGAATTGTGCCAAAGCCGCTGTAACTTCTCCGAAGTAAAAGATATCAAAAAATTTCGCACCAAATTGAAAATGAAGTCTCCTATTTGTGAGTTTTTTTCTTTTCGCAATGATTTTTTTGCTCACCTCATACAGGGGATCGATAAGCCCTATGTACACAACTAACACTGTGACTACGTAGGTATTTTTGGGCAGTTTAGAAATTGTTCGAGAATTGTGAATGAAGGAATTGCAGGGGGTGTGGATTTTAATTTTTTAGATTCTTGCAGTTATAGGAGATTTGCAGCACTCATTTCACGACCTGCTGAAATGAAAGCGTCGTTGTGAAATGGCAAAAGAACTAAAGCAGCATTTTAGCATCAGACTAAAAAAAATTACGTAGACAAAACTAAAACTGTCACGAGAAAATAAAGTTAGGTTGACGATCAAAAAAGGCGTGTTTGGAGGTAGGCACGTTTAATTGCAATGGCGCCGTGTCATACGGTCAAAAAGCACATGCTTTTAAAGAAGTATGAAAATGTTGAGTTTCACGAACGAAGAATGAAATCGCATGCTCTTCAAGCTCTCACCGAATGAAAATCTGGAGAAATTTATGTGCTCAAACAGAGAATTTGCTTTTCCAGGTTCCCTTCCCAGCTGTTATTGAACGTCTTGAAAATAAAAGAAGGGAAAATTACTTGTTTCTGCTAAAAGCGGGTTTGCGAGGAGTGTTATAGGCTGTAATTTTCAGGATATTCGGTTGTTATTTTTCTGCCATTGTTAATGTGGGCTTTTTAAAGGGATCCGGTTTAAAGCGATTTAAAGCGATAGTGCTTCTGTTGCAGTTCACAGCAGCGAAATTTTCATCGTTTTTATTTCACTGTCCCAAGAAGCTGATGATTAAACTTGACCGATTTTGGGTTTCTCTTGGTCAAAAAGTGGTTGTTTTCTCAAGGAAGTGCTCAACTTCAGTTGCTGAGGAACATCTATCTTGGAGGGAGCGGCTTAAATGTGTTTCAGCAACCAGTTTGTCTTTTTTTCAGGGTTTTTTAAAAATACTTTTGTTTTGCTGTTAGTGGAATGCAAGTCTTTGGAAGGTTTTTCTTTACGGTGAAAGTTTTGATTGAGGTCTGAAAACAAATTGTTTCAGTGAAAACGGAGACGGAATTTGAAGAGTTTCAGGCAGACTGGAATAAGGTAGAACAGGTTATGCCTTTGAAATCAGTTCCGAAGTTACCCAAACATGAGTCTTTTCCAACCCCCAGTGGCTGGTTTCCTCCTAAAGGTATCTCCCCGTTTTCAATGCTCCGTAAACGATCAACTGTTGGAAGCCTAAGTTTTATTGAAGATTTCAACGCTTCTTTTTTTAAAAATTACTTCCTTTTTGGGTAACTAGATTCTTTTTTAAGTCAAGGGCGATTTACCGTATTTCGTCAGAAGACGAAGGGATCATCTTTTTCCCGTATATTTACACGTTAAAAGAGACAAATTGGATCCAAAAACTATGGACTTCGATTACGTGGAACTCGTGGAATTAAGGGATGTAGCTGGAAACATTTTTGTTAGTTTGTTTCTCATAAAGGATGTTTGCTTTTCTGACTACAATCTTTTTTTTGAAGTGAATTTTTGGACTCTTTTGTCTGTTAAATTTTAAAGTTGGTTTTTGAGATGAATAATAGTAATAATCTTTAGCTTATTACTATTATTATCTGTTGCTAGCGGTCTTTGTAGTCGTTGTTTACTTCTCAGCGAAGAAGTTGTAGAAGCAAGCAAGTATGCAGCCTAATTTAGAAAACTGCATTTAGGTTTGAAGATTTCTAGTGATGCGGATGTTTATGAAATTTTTGTTTTGTTTAATTAAGTTTGCCGATGAGGATTTCACTTAATTATCTTGGTGCATAAACTTCATGGAAGGAAAAGAAATATTTTTTGAAACTAAAGTTTGCTATAAACCCCTCCTATATATTTTAACTTCATACTTTAATTTTTTTCAATACATGCTTACAGTAAAATTCATTTACTTAAGACTGCCATTGGTGGTGGAACTAAATGAAAAATATGCTGGTTGTTCTACGTGCTTTTAGAATCCAATGGAATAGACGGGCTTATGTAGGGAGACGGTTTACACCTTAATATGCGCTTCCAAAGTTTGAAAATTTTTTAGTTTTTTGCACATTTGGACTCTTTTTAAGGTTTGCAGTTCTTCCGTTTGTAAGGAGAACCACTCGAGTTAAGAAATAATGTTGTTTACCCATTCTTTGACGTCGACTCGCCTGATGCATAAAGAAAGTGGACATTTCTGTGCAGGAGCAAAGCGATACTCGCGTTTTGCGAGTGTTTTGCCCACACAAGGCAGGTTTTTGGTGAGAGCACTAGTAGTGCTCTTCAGAAGTACTTTTTGACAGGAAAACTGAGGTTTTTCATTTATGAGTGTAATTTTAACAGCTTCTCTACTTTTAAGAAGTGAATTGGGTAGTTCTGAAAAAGATAACTAGTGCTCTTTTTTTTTCGCGAGAATAATATACTGCTCAGCTCAATAAACTTGAAAAAATTGGCCTAAATCGGAAATCCCTAATGCTGACCGCTGAAAAAGGAATTATCTATTTTATCTATCTTTTTCAAACAAATATTGTTCGCGGACGTTCGCCAACTGTTCCCGATGGGAATCGTTAGTAGTTTGGGATTAGTGTTTTCCCAAAAATTGTAAACGAAGTGCATCCTTTACTGATGTCTGCGCGTGAAAACTGAACGACGTCAGATGTCCAGAACTCATTATGAACCTTATCCTTCAAGATCTCTCGACCGTACTGTTCATTCAATTTAAAATCCTACAAGGAGCTGAGATAAGAACACATTGTTTAGTTTGCGGTTAGTGTGGATGTCGTGTAAGTTTTTAGCGTAGGACTTTGAGGTTTACAACGGTGGCTTCACAAGAGAGTAAGTTTTTTAGTTTTCCATTGTATTCTCGCTTGCAGACTAAGTTGGAGTGAAAACGAGTCAACAGAAAGCTGAAAGGCTCCATGAACTTTTGGAAATTACTAATAATTTCAATTGCTCATTTCTACGTAGTTTCTGCAGTAATAAAGTTTTTCGTATTTTAATTATTAGTAAAGCACTTTGCCTTCCTTCTGAAACAGTTTACTTTTGAAATTATGGGGAACAGTCTTATTTATAGTAGTTCAAAGTAACGACAACGATTTTTCTAATAAGAAATGACCTTCTGTGTATTATGTACTCTTGTTGAAATGAGTCAAACAACTTGCAGCGAATGCCTGTTGCTTGTTTGTTATTACTGGCACCATCCCATTGCTTTCTAACGTCCTAAATCCTGAGAGTACATTTCCAGTGTTACACTTCCCTTTTTTTGAGGAGATCGTCCACAACAGAGCAGTATTTACGCCTTCCTAAACTAATTCACACAGGATTTCACATTTATTTCGAGATTGTCGCAAACAACAGTAGATTATTTTAATGTTGGTTCGCATTATTCATTGATATAGATAAAAAAACGTGACTGAATAAGCGAAACCTCCCCTTTTTTAAAATTTCTTTGTAAACCCAACCTTTGTTGGCGTATGCGTTATTAACACAGGAAACCCTGCAAAATGAAGAATTGATAAATAGAAAAAGGCACTGAGTTAAACTTGTTTTAAATAAAATTGTACGACTTTTCTCAGCAAGATTCTGTGGTAAGTTTTTTGTGGGTTTAAAGGTTGAACTTTCTTGAGCGGAGAGGTAAGGTGTTGCTGCATCGTATTTAAATAAAATTTTCATAAATCAGAAAACTTTGCGCAGAATGTATTTTTGAAGAAGAAATTGGGTGTTTTTTCAAAATTTATACCTTTACGAGTTCCAGTCTTCGCGTTGAAATTTGTATTATTTCCGTACTACTTTAAGATTGGGAAAAAATGTGTTTTTATGCGCCCCTTTCCCTAACAAGCTGACAAAAAATGACAAACTGAAAGAAACACAGGCTAAGCAAACGCTGAAGTTTTCACAATTATTTCAGAGATAGTTACTTCAAATTTTCCTTTTTGCATAAACCAAATGCCTAGACTTACCCATCGACTCTCCTAAATTCGTGTATTTTGTAGCTTGTATATATTTCTTAGAGCCCCAGCTTTTGCAGAGCAGAATCTTTTTTCAGGCTTTTGCGAAAGACATGCAGGAATTTCTTGAAGGAGAATTAAGCCATCCAGTAGCAATTAATGTAGACGAACTAAAAGGGAGAGTAACCGTTAAAGGCTCCGAAAGATCGCAAGTTGAGATGTTCCTGAACAGATGTGGCTTTTGAATATTTCGCAATTATATTTTAACAGTCTGTTGTAGTAGCCACTTGTGCCTTTCATAATATTTTGTATTTTTGAAGTCCTAGCCCTTTCCATAGTAAAATCGCTATGTTTAAAAAATAATTTGATACCAACTGCGTTTCCTGCAGTTCAAACAGACATTACGCATGTGATAGCTTTAATATTAAAATACCAGAGCCAAACGGGGTTATGTCGAAAATCCAAATAGGTAGCTTCATCTGTAAATTGAAGGGTGTTTCGCTATTAAACAATGTCTTTAAAAAAAGGGGGAGAAGTGCTTATTTGGCTTAGATTTTTCTGCATCACCCGTACTTCCATCTAATTAAGTACTTCGATGCCTTTAGGACTCAGCTCGGAGTGCTACTACTGAGTTTCCTTAATCTTGTCGTTTCCAAATTGAATTTTGGTACTTTTCTGGAGTAGTGTTTTGCATAAAAAGGTAGTTATTGCGCGCTGCGCGCATCATCTTATTGGTGGGAACTGATTCAGATTTGCTAGTAGGATACTCAGGAAAAACGACTTGTCCGAGATTGTTTGACTGCTAAAGTGGCACCTTGTTAGGTTTCTTGCTTATTTTAGGTTATCTTTCTGATTGGCTGGTAATAATCTTTCTATACTTTTCAAAATCTTGCTTTCACCGTCACTCACGAGTTCTTAGCTGCACGTTTTTGGGAGGTTAGGCAATTGATTTCTCCCAGTTGTGCTACCGGACAAAACTTATCCCAAGTTTACTAATAATCGTTCAGTTATCTGGTTTTTTTCTGGGCTTGAAGAAATCTCTCAGTTCTTTGACATTTCAGAAGCACAAAACAGTCTTCTGACATACACCACCGGGACTGCAAAGGAGATGCACCGAGATTTAAAAAGAACAGATCTTCAAGGTTACTTTAAGTTTCAGTGAAGGGTCAGTCATTACACAATTGTTAATTCTCAGTTAGGGATAAAGTCTGTACTTAGACCAAGGGTTTGTGAGGGTCTTTTACTTGGGAATCCGTCTTATGTCGTGAGGTGACGGGAAGCCGCATGATTTTCCCGTTAGTAATCGACTGAGCTACAAACTCTTCAGGTTTTTGGAAATTTATTACATGTTTTTATGACAGAGCCTGAGTGCTTGAGATATGACAGGGAAAAATCTCACGAAGTTTTGTCAGAGCTACCATCTGTGCACAAAAAAAGATACATAAATTTTTTGTTACTTGGAAACACTGTATATAAAAACAGTAAAAAACAAGTGCAAAACGAAAAATTGAATGCTTAAAGCGCAGGATCACTCAGTGGAAAGCCAGAAGAAATACCAGGAAAACTTAATGGAGCAAACAGATCTTACACCTGTGTCGTTCACTCAGAAAAGCATATAGTGAGAGGAGAGACTACGCCTAGTGTAAGCAAAGCAGGAGAGTAGCAAAGGTGTTTCTGAACTTAAGTAAACGTACTAACAACAGAGCAGAAAAAAAACTTTGTGAAAAGACAACTTATAATTTACTTTATTTCGCTCTGCCGTTTTTTTCTTAACTGCCTACATTCCTTTTCCAGCCAGCAATAAATAAATGGTTACCTAGGTAAACAACCAGTTTTTTTGCCTACTTCACTCAACAATGCCACTTTTACATCTTGTTTATGTTTAACAAAAGAAAAGAACTTTAGGAAAGCTCCTAAGCACCCAAAGCAAGCAAAAATCTACAACTAATTCAAATGCAATTACCGCCTTTCATAATCATGAAAAAAACAGCTGCATTATGTCAATCTAAACACCAGCAAACAAAATGTAACCAGAAATCCAGGTCTTCTGCGAGCAGTAACCTAACCAATGTTACATATTTTCCTTGCGAATCGACAAATAAATGCGCCACGGTTAGTTGAGGATATAATGAATAAATCCAACAAAAATGGCCGTACACAATTGAAAAGTGGTATCACAGCTCATACTCCACCCATTTTAATAGCTTTTCAGAAAATTCACAGCATACTAACATCTCACTAAGAGTTCCGCCTCTTTTTATATTTTATGGAAAAGTTCATGCCGGTTACTTTCTCAGCACTACCTTCTGTAAAAGTGAACAAAATAAACTTAGCTTTTATTTGTAAAGCGCTTATCACACACAGAAACTAACAAACGGTTAAGCTTCTGGGCTCAAAAATGTCTTCCAAATTAAATTTTGTGAATCTCCACAGTTTCGAAAGAATGCATTAAGTAAGAAATCAGAAACTACGCATCTGTAGCAACGCGAAACATCTGGAAAAATCTTGTATCGACGCTGTCAAAAAATGTAGTTTAAGGACCAGTGACAGAGTAGTTTAAGTTTGACACTTTATTTGTAGTTTAAACTTGTCAACCCCGTAACAGGCTCCTAAGCAGTAAAGCAAAACATATTCTTACAGAGAGAAGGTCTCGATCCGAGTACAGGGAAGAAACAGCTTAACCAAACGGCAACCTCCCGTAACAATTTTCGTGAAATGTTGACTACAGCAGCAACCTGTGAAAAATGGAAGTCACTGCACTCATCTTGCTATAAAAAATCAAAGGAAAAAACTCCATCAAATTTTAAGATCTGGAAATGCAATTGCTAACTAAAAAATATCAGTTACCTAAAACCATTAAAAAAGTTTATGAAATCCGTATCGTTTGCAGTTTATCATAAACTAAGCAACTTTATACAGTTTGACCTCTACTGTTTGAAAAGAGCCAGCGACACAAAATTAGATATACTGTATACTAGACGAAACGTTTCAAGTCAAAATGAAGAGAAAGATACTGGTATAATTACGTGAACAGAATTATCAAAAAACAATTGATAAAATAAACTTACATCAGAATTACGTACCATTTTGCAAAAAGATGCATACCTCCACTTCCCTTCCCTAACAGTGCATTTTTAGAATAAGAACCTAACAGTGCATTTTTAGAATAAGAATTTCGAGCTTGGCACTTAAATTTTCACAGTACAGACTCAGCTGCTATAATATAACCTTCTGACGACATCTTTGCCACCAAAAAAAAACATGCTGTGGAGGATTTGAGGCCAAGCGAATAAGAATTGGACCTTGTATTCAACTACTTTTGTGCTGCCACTCTAACCCGCCGTCCCTTCTGACACTCGCCTTTCATGATCTCTGAAAACTCATTTGCACTAGATTACTGCATCCTACATGGTACGTCAAGAATAGAATTTGCAAAACTAAAGCTTACTATTTTTACGTAGTTGGTCTTCAACAACTCCAGCCATAGTCACACTTTTATGCCTACGAAGGAGAGGATCACTTATTTTGACCGCCGTCACTCCAACCAACTCCAGACCTTTATTTTAAAATTAACCGACATAATATAAAGGAGTGAATAAACTGTAGTAATTAACAACAAGAATTGAGAAACTTACTTCCTCTATCACCTTTACGATAAATCGGCTCTTCCCCTAACCACTTCCTGAGAGTTCGGACACGGTTCCTTTGTGAACGTCTACAACCATTAACAGTAGGCTCAGGATGCACTAGAAATTAAAAAACTTTGGAATAAACGAATGCACCAGCCATTACATCGAGGATAAAAAAGAAGTTAATTTGATGGAAAGATTTCTAACGCGATGGCTTAAATGAAAATAAAAAGAGTACCTATACGTCTCTTGACCAGAACTAATTCCGGCGTAGACTTCTTTTTAAACCTAGAAATCAAATGAACTGGCTTATCAGAACTGCCATCTTTCGATAATTTCGAAACTGCAGAAACGCTTGAGCCGGAAAAAATCACCGAATTGTGAACAGATGAAGGCGATGAATTAAAATTAACAATTGGCAAGGAAATGTTGTCTTGTCCTGGAGTTCCTGTAGTAACCATTGAGATGTCAAGCCCTAAAACTTTATAAATTTAGATGAATGGCAGATAACTGGGAGACACAGACTTTATAACACTGCCATACTTTAACAGATCACCCAATCTCCAAAGAGCTCAACAGTGCAAGAAGAATCTTTGGAAAACACAATTTTTAATTTGAGTGTGTTTTGGACCTTTCGGTAAAAACTACCTTTTGCAAAACAGTTGAGAAGCACCATAACATAACACAACTATAAATCAGTTGCCGTGTAAGAACCTTAAAATCCTTCCATTTTTGGATATAAAGTAAGAGCAAAATTTACACAACGTGCTCCCCTCAGTCTTAGAGAACTTGGTAATCAAGAAAAGCAAACCAAACCAATCGTAGAAAAGTAAAAGTAAAACAAGGCGAGAACTATTATGGACTTGAACTATAAGCAGTGTTGCGAGTTCTCGCCAGAAACCAACGCATCCTGTATTCTGTGCGCTTCAACAGTAGCCAGCCTCAACGTAGAGGGTGGAAAAAGAGCTCTAGTATGAAGCATGATGAAACATGACGCATACATAAATGACTCAAACTCTTGCCCATCTTAAAAAACACGCTTTCTTCGTCACAACCAACACTCGATGCAAAAAATTTCCTAGTCGAAAAAATAGTTTCTCAAATCCTTCAGAATACTGGCCATAGTAAAAAATGACCTGTACAAGCAGCGGCTTTCGTGAACACAAAGAGCTAAGCAAGCTACAGATGAAGTGAAATTCCGTTTATATTCACAAGTGATGGCATTGGTTTTGAGAGAGATTTATGCTGTTACAGCTACGCCTCAAGGCATGGAATTGTTAAATATGCTTACGAATATAACCTTTCCATCATTTTAATGTTACATTGGCGTTTAGATATCAGCTCATAGCAAGCTTTTTGTAATCTACATTGTGCTTTTCTGCTGAAACAGTTGCACAATGAGTTCTTCAGCCAGATTTATAGAATAACTTCCCATAGCCACCTTCATTCGTACTTTATTACTTTGCTTCGTGAATATCTTTTTTTTGGTCACAAGTGAAAACTGCAAATAAACAGAAAGAGGAAGAAAAGAGAGACAATCTTTTATGTAGAGTACTCAGAAATGCAGCTTCAGTGCTGTCATGCACGTTAATAAAAGCTGTCCACTTTAGACTATTTCACAAAAAAAACCTGAAGATTGCAAATCTGCATGTGAATTGTGGCAACAGTCCCCCTATAAAACTCAGATTTAATAAGTCTGTCTGACTAAACCGTACGAAAAAAGACCTGCAAATGGCTTATTTAACCATACCGCTAATAAATCCAGCTGGTCTGAGATTGTTCGAAGGAGTCCCGCTGATCAACTGGTTACAGCCAGGAAGTTCTGCATGCGTACCGGAACCTTCGCTATTGGTCTCTTGCACTGTAGTTGTACCACATATTAAGGACTATGTGTGCTTGTTCTTACAATATTTAAATACTTAAAATGGTTTTATGCTACCACGTAAAAATGACACCTTGTTCCAACTGCTTAGAAATACTCAAATTCCTTGTGGATGACTCCAGTGCCTCTATAAAATCTTCACTTTCTAATCCGTTTTCGGGTTTCAGAGAGACTTCACCTAAAAACACACTGCTCTAAACTATCCTTTAGCGGAGTTGTAAAATGTCGTGAACCCCATCATTTGCTACGATTTTGCCTCCGTACTTCAACTATGCTTTGTCTGTTACAAAAGTTGTTGGTAAAACAAAAAAATGTAAGATAAAAGAATAGTGGACCATTATTAACTACATGCAACTAATCCCAACATAATACAGAAAGCATGTTCCTTCTAGCAAAAATCCTATTTAAAATTAATAAAAAAGACACTACTTAAAGCCTGGCTTTGTGCACATGCACCGTTGGCACTCAAGTAATTTTCCTTATCAGCACTATCCTTCCTGTTATCTGATGCCAATTTCTGCTTCCCCACTCCCTTCCTATTTGAAATTCCATCTCGCAGCGAAACAGCGCTCTACAAAACTTCGCAATGATGAGAACTCAAAAACAAAATCTGGAATTTAGAGCCAAAAAAATAAAGGAAAAACTGGAAATGAAGTAAACAAATAATAAAACAAAACTGTACTGGAAAAGTTTAACAAATACACTGCAAATAATAGTAAAGTTAATAAGATTGAATGAATTATTACCGTCAAGTAAAAAGACACTAAAAAAAATTTAGAAGACTAAAACGAATAGAAACTAACAAAACACAGCGAATCATCAGCGTCGTCGTAAAAAGCTATACTTTGCAACGCCGCAGAAGGTCGTAATACTGATGGAGTGCAGAAGGAAGTACCAGCTGGCTCACTGACTTGTTTACACTAGGAATAAATAGTTGGAGAAAATATTAAAAATCTTTGACAGGACTATTTAATTAATTCTCAGTTGAGAGACACAAAATTGTAAAAACTGAGCTGAAATTTTTCATTGATTTCAAAAAATAAAAGGAAACCTTGGTTTTGCGCTTTTGTTCACAGGAGCCTAAGACAATCATCTTACTTTTTCCCCTATTTGTACTTGGAGAATCGGAACTCGTATCCGTGACCGAACCTTTAGAAGTACTTAAAAAACAACTATCATCTACTAAAGAAGTACAAAATCTAAATACAAAGCTCAAGAACGATCGATAGCCTTACTGAGAAGCATCTGCATCCATAACCGTAAGAAATTTACGGTGATGACCTTCATATCGTTCACAAATACTATTTTTGTTACAGGAATTATTTGGTGTGCTTGTCAGGCGTGTAAATACTTTTTTACTGACCTGCAACAAGTCGGAAAACAAAATTAATACTGTATACAACCTCTATGAAATTTTAAGCTTTTTTGGTACCATGAGCGGAAAAACAACAGCAGCGGTAGTCCAAATAAGAAAAAAAATGGCATCCCAAAAATGTCATCACTCTATTCATAACCTTACTTCACATTTTGGCTAACATCAGTTTTAAACTTAACCGTTGTCATTGAGTGGTCCAGTCCTTTTCGCCCATTACCAGGAAAGTGTAAAGTACGTTGAGGCGTCTTGAACGACAAGAGGGTTTTAGGAGCTGCTTTCAAATGATTTTCATCCATGCCAACGTTTAACGCGCTAAGTAAACGATCTCGTGTATTGTTTGATCCTGATTTTTGTATAAGAGAGTCCTGAAAGTAATTGGTTCGAAAAATGACAATTGCAATTCATGAAGATGAAACCCCAAAAAGCAAATTAATTCTTAAAACGTGCAGAAACTCACCCGTTTTCTACTAATGTACTATCACTGAGAATCACACTCAAGTCAAAACTCACATTACTTATCGTAAGGGTTGAGTTTGGCTGCCTCATCAGTGGTACTGCTCCTCCACTGAGATAAGACGTCGTTGCTTCCAACGGTGACTTTCGCTGCTTTCCTATCACCAAAGCAGTGTCACAGCGATTGTCTACAGATCCCGTCGTCGAACCCGTAAGTAAATCCTGCTTACTGCTCACTTCCTTCTCGCGAACAATACTAGGCCTTTCGTCGACCTTCTCATCCGGAACCGTAACACTTTGAAAACACGATGGAGTACCATACGACTTTGTCTTTTCCTCATTAACTTCATTTAAGTCATATTTTCTTTGTAAATAAGCAGTTTCTTTTTGAAAGAGAAGTGTACGCATTTTCGTTCGATTAGCGCACTTGGAACCAACACTCGACACTCGTCCACTATTTTCAAAAGTCCTTATTCCTTCATCTGCAGAAATAAAAGCAAAAGTTTGAACCTTCATAATGATACAGCAACTTATACCAACTTCCAGAAACAAACCTGCATCATCGTCAACGATGCTTGCTGCTCTACACGGTGTTTCTTCGGTAGGCGTTTTCCTCCGCGACTCCTCGACTAACAATTTCTCAAATTCAACTTGCAGTAAACGAGGATGTGCGGTGTTTTTCGCACTGATTGGGGAATTCAGTTGACTGTCATCCGTATTACTTAAAATGTCCTTACTAGTTATGTGAAAAGATTCGGGAGATGCAAGGGAACCACTGCTAAGCGCTGAACCTAAAAAAACGCGAGCAAAGCCAAATAAACAATAGGGTTCACATATTCTGCTCATATCCACTCACCAACTTAGATAAAACTCCATGTTTAGTAAAACAAAATCACCTGATAGCCATGAAATAAATGTTGGAAATTCGAAGTCAAGCGTAGGTGGAATATCAGTGACAATATTGAAATTTGGTCGTTTCTGACGAGCCTGCGAAATGGGAATTGAGAAATATAAAAAGCTTTTAAAACACTGTACGATAAAGCTACAAATTCTCTGCTCACCTCACGTTGCATTCTTCGTACTGTCTCTCTTTTCAGTAACAAGTTTTCTCGGTTACCTGTCTGGATTCTTGTTTCTAAATGAATATTTTCCTCAAGCAGACTTCCGGATAAATTGCACAAAGGTTCCTCATCGTCCTCTAGTACTATCTAAAAAATGTAAGTGGTTCGTTCCCCCTCAGGTGATCCAGCAAAAGACAAAACTTTTTTTCTGTAGCAAGTGCTTGTCAAAACGGCTTACTCTTCCACGAAGGATTGGACGACGTAAACCAAACTTTTGCTGTCCCATGCTTCCAATACAAAACCCATCTAGCATAGTCTCCTAAAAGAAATTAGCAAAGTCATCAAAAAGAACTAAAGGAACAACAGCACAAGTCCAGTCAGTGTTCTTCGAATAACGGTATTACAAGAAAAAAAAAAAGTTTTTGACCAAAAAATAAACAGAGCTACAGGGAACCAAGCACCGGATTCCAAAAAATGGCGAAAAACTGCTATAAACAAGGACGCAATCTGTTTGATTTGAACGGCGTTTTTCCCGCCATTGAAAAATTATGTAAAGGCAGCGTCATTTCTAATTTAGTGAAAATGAATCCGACTATATATTAGGAAACCCGCGTTGTACAGCTCCTGAATATATATATTCCTTCATTTACCTTTTTTTTCTTAAATTATTCATCTTTTCATCATTATTTTTGAATTTTTTCTCACTCGATAGAGAACTGCATTTCTTGACTTTCTCACTAAAATCTGTGTTTTTTTCAGCAGCTGCTCGGCAACCCTAATTTTTTTTTTTTTTTTTTTTTTTTT